GCGCTCATCCCGTCCGCCGGCCCGCAGCTTCTCGGCCTCCCCGCCCAGGCTGTGGAAAGAGTCTCGAGGAAGAAGCACACCGCGGCGACTCTCTCAGAGAACTTAGGAGTCCAGGAAGGCCAGGCGGAAGTGAGGGCGCAGACGCCTTGAATCCTAGATTTTGATTGGTCCACATAAAAAAGGGAGATGACGCCAAGGAGACCATTTTCCTTTTGGGCAAATAGCCACTGATTTGCTCTGGCTGAAATCAACTGACTTTCTAGACTTTGTTCTAGAACTAAGGGACAAGGTTCGAGTTAGGGAACACTTCCGACAGTTGTTCATGTTCCATTCCTAGCCTCTATGGAGGGTCAACTTGTGTTTTTATTAATTCCTTGTACTTTCAAAACATTGCTATTCTGACGTTTTCCTGATATATAAAATAAAAAAGAGACAACAAACTCTGAAAGCAGTTAATGAGTCCAAAGACAACGGATAGAGTGATATGTTGCCCAAGGTAATTTGAAGCCAGACAACAATGAAGCTAAGGAAGAGAACTATTATCATATCTAATTAACTGTCTATAGATGTTGTGTAGTTGCAGTGTGCTTGTATCTCTGGGTAATTAAGGAAAACTCAGGCTCATTAATTCGTTCTTTCAAACATTTGCCAAACATGCGCAACATGGAAGATGAATTTGTAATTTGCCAAACCAAACACTGAAGAGTAAAAGAGATTGTTGTTAATATTAAACCACTCGACCTGTATAGAGCAACTCATACACAAAGCACTGCACTAGGCTTTTCACATTCAAAAGCACTTTTGGGATACGTGGTTGAACTCAAGAGATCACAAGTAATGAAAACTGTTAACTGTTAATCAAAATGCTGTTGATGCTATGATAAATATATATGGGAGTTTTTGAAGGGGAGGAAACAGGAAAAGCTTTAGGTAGGAGGTCATCTGTGGGGAATGCATATATATATATATATATATATATATAAAAGGTGAGAAACCCAGGAGACCTAAACCCTTAAGGGATGGGAGCTGTCAAGACTCAGCATGCAGAGAGAGGGCATGGTGAATGAATGACACATCATGTAGACAAGGAAATCAACAGCTGGTTCTGTGCTCCAACATGAAGTCTTTACACTGTGCCCAAGGAACGAGACTTTTGAGACAGTTTAAATAATAGAGAACTATGCAAGTTTCCAGATGTGGGTAGCTAAGTGAGTCTTCATTCATTAGCAACACTAACTGGACACTAGAGATTGGTGGTGGGGGTGCCATTTAGAGACTTTACCAATAATTCAAGCAAAAGATGCTAAGTCAAGATGGGATGGTGGTGTCTTGTTGAGAATTATTGTAAGAGGAGTAGAGAGTAATATTAAAGGTCAAATGAAGACAAAAAGTTTAAATGGCCTTACTGTAGTATCTTTATTGACAGGAATTGTTTACTGAAATAAGGACAATGGGAGGAGGAGCAAGTGTGAGAAGACAACAAACTCTAGTTTAACATGTTGAGTGTAGATTGTGTGAAGTGTTTGTATACAGCAGAATGAAGCCCTGGCAATGCATGTAGATAATATTTAAGCCATGGAAGTGATTGTTTTCACTTAAGAAGAGAATGGTGTAAAAAGAGAAGAGGGCTAAAGACAAGAAAAGCTCGGCAGTGGAGAAGCTATAGAAGGTTAAAGAGAGCCACAAGATGGACACTATCAACTCATTTGCTACTTGGTTTAAGAATAGCGCTCAATCCAGATGGAGTGGTACATGTTTTTCAGCCCAGCACTTGGGAGGCCTGCCTGATCTACAGAGTGAGTACCAGGACAGCCAAGACTATAGAGAGAAACCATATCTTGAAACCACCCCCAATCAAGCTGGGAAGGTTTGCACACTATTTTCCTATGTAGATTTAGATGCTTAATGAGGGGATCTGTATTAGGCAATGGCACACCAGGGTTCTTAAGGCTATGTAAACGTCTAGCTGAGTGCCTGGTATCTCTATTCATAGTAGTACTGAATGCATAGTAGACAAAAAAAATGACAATTATTATGATCACAGAAGGTAAAGATTTGCTATCAGGAGTTCAGGTGTTTAAGAAACGGAGCATTTCTATATTTTTTCAAGGAACTTAAATTCCATCCCTGTGGTGCACCAAGGAAGCCTTAAGTGAATGTGTAAAGAGTAGATGAAGTCCTGAGTGAATGTGTGTTGGCATGGGCACAGCCATGTCAAGAACACCAATGCCTCATGGGAATTGGCACAGCCTTACCAGAGTGAGGTTAAAAGGGATGGCACAGACTTCCTCAGGTCTGCTGAGAATGCACTCCTATGAGAGCCTCATCTTACCCTCCTACAGAGACCAGCTCACCCCGCCCCCAGTGCTCTACCTAATAAACACACTGAGGTTCTGGGCTGTTGTTGAACAGCTCCAGCAGAGCAATCGCCACCCACCTGATTCCAGCTTATGTCTGTGTGTCTTTTCTTTCACCATTCCCTCAATGCCCAGTCAGGTATCTAGGACCAAGTCATGCTGGAGGCATCACATCCACCTGAACTGTTAGAAAATTCTATCTTACCTTGTTTAAGGCTTCTTGGCATTCAAAGGGGGCCACGTTAGAATCTGACCTCGATTATAACGTTTATAAAGGGAGGATCAGAATGTTGTTCCCTCTCCAGGAATTAAAACAAGGACCTGGCAATGGTGAAGTGTCTTGTCTTCAGACAGCTCCCCCAGCTGAGTCTGAGTGGGCACATGAGTGTGCATTTGCATGTCATGCTGGATACAGGCAGTCCACATGCCATTAAGAAGATGGGCTCCCACCAACCTGAGATCTCCATGAATCCACTGTCACTTCTCAAACTGTGGGCTGCCTTCTGTCAACCTCTTCTCCCTCACTGCCGTCACATAGTCACCTCTTAAGCTCTCCCTCCTCAGGGAAACCTCACTGTACTTGTTCAGTGAGTACATGCTTTCGCCAAAGGCTCTAGCCAGTTTCTGTGCCAGTCCTCCAAGTACCTGGAGGCAGGGACCACATAGGCTCTGGCCACCTAACGGAATGAAGGAAAAAATAATAAACCTATAGAAAAACAATGACCTAATTGTCCTGTATTTCTGTTAATGTACAATGTTAAAGGGTGCTGATCAAGTATTAATCTATAATAACAGGATAATAAATATCTAGAGGCAGACTGGCTGGGACGTATGCCACCTCTTGCTTCCAAACCAGACAAGCCTCCAAATCTTACTCTCTGTTGCCTCAGAGTCTTGTGGGGTAACTTTCAGAAAGCAGATTCGTAGGACACACCGTGTGCATATTCATTTAAAATCTCAGGGGATGAAATCGGACATCGGGTTTATTCATTTGTTTGGTTCTGGGAATCAACCCAGACCTTATCAAATGCTCTATCATACAACAGCTCTATCCCCCAGCCCAGATATCTGCTCTTTGAAAAACCCTTTGTGAAACTTTATGGAAGGTGGAGACGGGAGAATCCCTGGGACTTACTACATGCCAGGCTAGCTCCAGGTTCAGTGAAAAACACTGACTCAGGGGAGTAAGGTGGACAGTAATATAAAAAGGCACCCAAACACACACACACACACACACACACACACACACACACACAAACAGAAAATTCTACTCCAAATGACTTTCATATGCTGACTACAGCACAGAAAAGAAACGTGCATTAAGGGAAAAATATTTAGCTCTGAAAGAAACTTAGAAAAATGCAAGTTGACACTCCTGGACCTGCTAAAGGGCCAGTATGCTACAAAGCAAGTTGGGGTTCTGTTTGGGGACGGCAGCAGGAACATGGCCTCACAGACACTCAGCAAACACACCACCTAGAGCAACAACCCAAGTCTCAGGCTGCCATTCCTAAGATAGTCCATGCAAGGTGTCACTTGTGCAATGGAAGGCCTGGGCATTTTATGGTATGTTCCTGCTAGAACCAGAGGAAACCACGAGATCTGATTCCTCACATGGCAATATGGATATGAATACAGGCTCCCGAACCAGCAGGCTTATTTTCAGTTCTTAATTATCCGTTGTATTAATCAAGGTTGAAATTTGAGTTCCAGTGCTATTCCATTTCTATTGGACAATGAGTATGCTACATGTAATACTTGAGTCATCTTCGAAGATTACATTCAAGGGAGGTATTTGTATGTCTGTTTGTTTGAGGACTTTTGTGATCAGGGAAACTTATGGTCCAATGAGCATGGTATCATTTAGCTTGTATGCCCTGTGTGTGTTTTTTTGAGGATGACACAAAGTGGCTTACATAATCCCGAATCAGTGTCAACATGAAGACTGTTGTCACTCATGTTTGCAGACACTGGCAAGTTCAATCCCAAATTAAACTGTTATTCTGATTACACAAAAGGCTCTCTGAAGTCACAGGTAAAAGAGCAAAGTTTGTTTAAAAAAAATAATGACATGTAAATTAAGAGTCTAGCTAGACTAGTGACACACACCTGTAATGCCAGCATGTTGCAGACTGGGAAGAGGATGGAGGTTGAGGCCTGCCTGGGCTATACAGCAAGTTCAGGACCAGCTTTGTCTGAATATCTATATCCTGTTTCAAAACCAAACAGAATGGGCTGGAGAGATGGCTCAGAGGTTAAGGGTACTTACTGTTCCTGCAGAGGACCCTAGTTCAGTACCCAGCACCCATATAGGGCAGGCAGTTAACAGCCCCCTGTAACTTCAGCTCTGTGGGATCTGAGACTCTCTTCTGGCCTGAGTGGGCACTGCACTCACATTCACATACCCACACACAGATACACACGTATACACATAATTAAAAATAAAATCTATAAGAACACAAACAAAAAAGTAAAGAACTATTGTTGATTAAAGCCCTCTGCAGAGATACTGCAACTTGTGCCAGACAAACTTTTCAGCTAGGTCCTGAAGCAGGAATGTGCCCTCCTTTCACAGTCACAGGCACAGGGGACAACAGTATTCAGTGTAGCTTCACATCTGTAGTAATTGCCTGTCTGTGTCAATTGAGTTTGTTTTTGTAGACATGTTTTTTTTAGTAAATATGTGTGTGTATATATATATGCATACATATATTCATATATATATAT